TAAGTTTTTCGCGTGTTGGAACTCCTGTCGAGTTTCTGCGGCCTTTTTTAGCGTTTTGGTTAGAGACAAAATCACTTCTAGAGTGACGCATTCTAGTACTACGTATCGTTCATTAGGCATATGCTTCGCAGTGGAATGTCAAACAGAAGTATGACCAGGCTTTATCCTGCGCGGGAGGTGATTTGCTGAAAGAAAGGAAAAGCGGTACCTGATTGGTGAGCGCAACATAGATGCCAAGGAGGAGATAAAACCAGTGAAAAGTGGTCAGCGAGTCCAGTTCTGAAGCTGAAAGTGTGGCATGCTGATAGATGACATGCGTGAATTTTGGTATTATCAACAGGAAGTTATCGCCATTGCACTCAATGAAATCGTGGCGTGTTATTGCAGTCGGGTCCACGTGGTGCTCACGAAATGACCGAATGAAATGCTGAAATGACTTACTTTTCAGAAGGAATGTTTAAGCGATACGAAAAAGAACTGGGCAAAAAACAACGTTAGCACAAAATGAGACATTGGACTGAATCTAAAACTTAGAGACGAGAGGTATTCGAGATAATACGGCGTTATAGCAGTTGCAATTGCAATCATATAATAAAGTAATTATTTATAATGTAATGTTGTGCTCCTTCTGATGACATATAAAATTTTTAATTATATCTACTATCGTCCCTTCCTAATTGGTCATTCTCATTAAACAGGTTGTTCAAGCATGATTTTTTGCTTGATTTTTCATCAATTTGTAACGGATGAGAGACTTATTAAAAGCACTATAATGGATTGCCAGCGTGCTGACGAATAAATATGTAGTTATACCTTCTAAGTGTTTGGTACGAATTATTATCTTTTGTGTGAATAAAGCGCCAAAACTGGTTGCTTCTTCCACAGAGGGGTTTGCGTTAAGCATCCAGTTTAAAATGCGCATATTCCGGGAAAAAAGACGGAAATGAGACCTTGCCAATGAATGTGTCGACGGTACCGAACGAATCAGCGGCCCAGTGCACGAGACCGGATAGAAAATCTGCAGTTACAATACCAAGAAACGCAGAGAGAATCACCGAAGGCAGCGTTGTAAGCGTGAATCGCTGTAATAACAGGAACAGGATGATGAAAAGCTGGGCCACACCAATCGCTGTCGAAATGATCTCCTGCAGACGTTTTTCTGCAAACAGACGCTCGGAGTAGCAGCGAAACTATAAGCAAGCATTAAACCATAGATTCAGTAGCATTTGCAGAGGAAAGGGCCAAATCCTAGCGGATAGAGAAGAAACCCTGAGTGGAAAAAAATAAATTTAAACCTGGCCAGAAGAGATGCATATATGAGTTCAAATGAGTTAAAACTGAGTTCAAATGAGTCAAAACTGAGTTCAAATGAATCAAAATCCAAGTAACGAACTGGCTACAGAAAATTTCATTCCGATCTAGGTATTTCGCTGAAACTGGATAGTATCCACTTCCCAAACTCCGAATGTAAAAATTCGAACAAAAAACTTACCGCGGCTGTAAAGCGCTGCCAGCTGCTTCGCACCGGCATGACGCGGTCCCCAGCGCGGCTTGAAAACGCCCTCCGGATTCACGTTTCCATTGGGATCATCTTCCGGCATTGCATGCTCTGCACTGGTTACCGGGACTGCTTCCCCTTTCCCTGATGAAGGCACCACTGTGGCGCATTTCTCGTCCATAATGCTGAAAATGTTATATTCAACAAAAATTTTTCAGGAGTTTTCTGAAATCGCAAATGATAGTCAAGAGAGCAAGCCAGGAAGAAAATGCAGTGGCAATGGAATTTTGAAAATGCAACACCGAGAGAACCGAGGCGAGGCACTGTTTCCACGAGCCGACTTATTGAGGTCCCTGAATGAGGAGTCCACCTATATTAAACGCGGGTTTAAGGGGAACAGAGGGTGATGGAGAAAAGGTACGGAAAGTCTGAAGGATAAGGAAACTGATAGGGAAGCGAGTAAGGGAGCTGGGAGCTTGGTCTCCTCTGCTTGGTTGTTTTCCTGGATGCTACATGATCGTGGCTGGTAGGCATAGGTCGTTGTTTTCCCTCACGTCAAAAGGCGTTCCTTTCTCCAGTGAACAGCAAGGAGGTGCACTCCGAGGTTTCCACTGATAAATTCGATTTTGTGTGCTGATTAGCAGGCGTTTCCAGAGATAAAGCAGTGCTCATCAGTACGCCCAGTCATTTGACTGTTGCTGATATCAATCAACTCTTGTCTCCCATGCAAACGCTACAGATTGCTTTTAATTCCCGGACTTCAAGTTTTTTTTTTTT